GTATTACATCAGTGATAATGACAAAATGTGATCCAAAGACACTTGCACCAATTGCAGGAACAGAATATGAAATTGAGTGTGATTGTCTCTTATTATCTGTTGGACTTATTCCACAGCCAGATTTAACTCAACAAGCTGGACATAATGTACAATTAAATCCAAGAACTAGAGGACCAATTGTTGATGGATTTAGATGTGTTGAAAAAGGAATTTATGCAGCTGGTAATCAATTACATGTACATGACCTTGCAGATGAAGCATCTAATGAAGGAGCTATTGCAGGAGAAGCTGCAGCACTTTCATTAGGAGGAGAAAAAGAAGCAATTAAAGTTATTCCAGCACCAGAACTTCTTTATTGTGTACCAGAAAGAGTAGTTATTAGTGATAAGAAACAAAAATTATCATTTAGATTTAGACAAGATTTTGGAAGTGCACATGTTATAGCAAAAATAGGAGAAACTATTATTGGAGAAGAAGAAATTGAACATGCTATTCCAGCAGAAATGGGACATGTTTGGGTAATTCCTAAAGATTGTCAAATTGGACAAGAAGTTACACTTACAGTTATTCCTAAAGCACATGAAGAAGTAACAGAACAAAAAGAAGGAGAAATAGTAAAACATATGAATTGTATTGTATGTCCAAGAGGATGTCCAATTGAAGTTAAGATTGATGCTAAATCAAATGAAATTACATCAATTAAAGGAAATTCATGCCCAAGAGGAGCTGCTTATGTTAGACAAGAACATATAGAACCATTTAGAGTATTTTCAACAACTCTTCCAGTAGAAGGAGGAAATTTGATAAGAGTACCAGTTAAATTAACCAAACCAGTACCACGATCAAAGATATTTGAAGTAATGGAAATTATTCATAAACAATCACCAATTAAAGCACCAATCAATAAAGGACAAGTGTTAGTAAAAATACCAAAAATGACAGATATTGTTGCATGTTATCCAGTTGTTGCTTTAGAAGAATAAACACAATTAATTCAAATTTAAATCATTAAATATTCAAAAATAATAAACCTTTTTTCTTTTTTTAACACAAATAAAATAAATTAAACTCATAAATGAAATAATTCTTTAAATGTCTTCTCATCACCACCACAAACATAATACACCATTTCTTCTTTTGATAAATTTAAAATTGCAGAATAAATTTGTCTAATCACAAAAACATCTTTTGGTTTTCTTAATGGACTTCTAAATGATGCTACAAAAACATTTTTATCTCTTTTAATAATAGCTAAATTACCATATTTTTCATGTAATAATTCTCCTATTTTTTCTGAGAAAAACCGACCATATTGTTTAATAATTGTTTCTCCAGTTCCATTTCCTTTATGTTCATGATAATGAAAATTCTCCTTAACAAAATCACTTAAATAAATCATATTTGCAAATAAATAGTCTTGATTTATTGTTTTAATTATTCTTTCATCCATTAATGTATTAGAATTAATAGAATTAGTAAAAGAATCAAAAGTAAAATGAGCTTTAATTGTTATATGAGTTGTTCCACCATAAACACGTTCAACTGAATGTGTGTTTAAATTATATCTTAAAATAATAGAAAATGCTTTACATTTTTTATTTGTATCAAAAACATATTTATTTACTTTTGTTTTTGATACAATTTTTTGTCTTTCTCTTTGAAATAATTTTCTACTAATTTGTTTTAATTCTCTTGACGATGGATGCATTTCAATAATATAATTTGCACAATGAATTCCTAAATTAACAGTATTTTTATCTATCATTTCTATATGAATTGCATCATCCCACATTTGTGTATTAGAACTATCAATAGTAATTGTCATTAATGAAGAATAATCATTAAATTGTTGTTTTTTAATTAATTGATTTATTTTTTGTAAAACATTTTGAGCAATTGTTATTTTATCAAAGTCAATTTGTTGTTGAAAATTATTTTGTTTTACTAATTGAGACTTTTTAGAATCGTCAGAATAATTATCACTATTAATAATTCTTTTAAAAATAAATATATTGTTTTCTCTATCAATATCTCCAATAACATGACATCTTTCAAATTCTTGATCTGACTGTAATGAATATATTCCATTATTATCTGGCCAAAATATTCCATTTTCAATATATCCTGTAATATCATTATATTTTTCATATTTTTCAATATATATTACTTCACATGTAGGTTGAAGTATATATCCATTATATTCTTTTCTATTTAAAATTAATTCAATTAACTCATTTAAACTATTTATTTCATTATAATTTATTTCTACCATTTTATTATATTTACTTCCTTTAAAAAATAATTGACTATATTCCATTTCTAATGAATCTTCATCCTTTCCTTTTATTTTCCAATATTTAATTGGCTGTAATGCAACTGATACTTCATCTCCTGGTAATGAATTATTTCTTTGTTGATATGGTAATAGAACTTCATGGTTTTCTCCTACAAAATTAATTACACAATATAAATATTCATTAAAATATTTTATTGTGGTTGTAAAAAAGTTCATCTTAATTTGAATATTTCTTAGTTATTCTTTCTTATTTTAATGACTCAATAGTCAAAAGAATGATGTAAATTATTACAAAATATCTTTATCTTCTTTCTTTTTTAAATTAAATGTTATTATTTGTTTTTATCTTCTGCTTAACTTTATTCTTCCTTCTTTTTGTTATAAATCAAATTACATTCTTTTTTTATGAATTTATTCTTTTTTTTTGTCTTGTTTAACTCTTAAACCTTTAAAATTTCAAAATAAATGATGCAAAATTTTTATTTATACTAATCATTGGTGTACTTTTAAAAAAAAGTAATGTAAATTAAAAATTTTACTATTTAACATGACTTAAAAATTAGTTTTTATTCTTCATTGTTTATTATGTTTTTTAGTATAAAACAGGTTATTTGCTTTTTGAAAGAAAGTATAATCTCACCTAATTATCATAGATTTGTTGAATCAAAGATATATTCTTTTAAGTTAAAACAATCCACTTTATTAAAATAAGACTAATAACTCATCTCTTAAATTATAATAGGAATAATACACTAATGAATATCTCAATGAAGAATTAATAAAATTCAAAAGAAGAACTGTAAAATGATTGAATAAAAAAAACAATGAAGAAAAAAGTTTAAAAGAGATGAACTTCAAAAGATGAAAAGAACTAAAATAAAAGATATTTTCAGATTTTTAGAAGAAAAACAAAGAAGAACTCAAAATAAGAACAACTCAACAGAATGCTTCCATCACATCTTGGGACTGGATCAAATGAAATAATTAAAACATTAGACACTATTAGAAATAGTGGTTCTATTGAATGGGTAGTTTATCATGTTAATTTTAAGAATGGAGATTTAATAGAAGACGATACAGGAACAACAGTTGGAGATATGGTTTATACAATGGACAACGCACAAGTACAATTTGGATATTTAAGATATGAAATGGACCAAACAAAGAAATTTTTATGTGTTTGTTGGTGTGGACAAGCAGCACCAGATAATTTAAAAACAAAATTTGTTTATTACTCAAGAGACTGGGAAGATTTCTTAAAATCTAATAATCACTCTATTTCTGTCACAATCTCTGCTAGAAAAGAAGAAGACTTAGACGAATCTACTATCGTCGATAAATTAAATAAATCTACTAACTCATTTGTTAGAGCTCGTAAACAAGGAGAAGCTAAAGAAGACTTAAACGCTAAAAAAAATATCTTTTGGCAACAACAAAAAACTAAAGACCAACAATATAATGATGAAATGAATGCTAAACAAAAATTAAGAGAAAAAGAATACGCAGAGTCTAAAAGAATTGAATCAGAAAAATTAACAGCAGCAGCTGAAGCCCGTAATGCTGCAATGAACGCTGCTAAAGAACAAAAGGTTAATGCTTTTAAACAACAACAATTAGAAAAAGATGAAGCTGAAAAGGCTCGTTGGAAAGAACAAGAACAAAAACATAGACAGTTTGTTGCTTCCCATCAACAAGAATCTGAAAAACCAGTTGCCCAACAACAAGTCAAAGGTAATGTTTCGGCTTTCGCTAGTAAATTCACTCAATATGCTCAAAAAGATCAAGAAGAAGTTCCTAAAGTTCAACCTACTGGTAAAAAATGGACTCCTAAAGTAGCTCCTGCACCTGAAGTTCCACAACCTACTTATCAAAGACCTACTGCTCCTAAACCTACTTATAGACCTCCTCAACAAACCATCCCAGAACCTGTACAAGAACAACAACAATATCAAGAAGAACAACAACAATATCAAGAAGAACAACAACAATATCAAGAAGAACAACAACAATATCAAGAAGAACAACAACAATATCAAGAAGAACAACAACAATATCAAGAAGAACAACAACCAGAACAACAATATCAAGAAGAGCCTGTACAAGAGGAGTCTCAACAATATGAAGAAACCCCACAAGAAGAGGTTTCTTCTGTTCCACCTTTACCACCTAAACCAAGACAGCAACAAGGAGAAACTTATATTGCTGAATATGATTATGATGCTACTGCTGAAGGAGATTTAACCTTCAGAGAAGGTGACATTTTACAAGTAATTTCAGTTGATGAAGATGGATGGGCACAAGCCATCAATGCTAATGGAGAGCAAGGAACTGTCCCCCTCAATTATCTTAGAAAACAATAATGAACATCAATTTTCTTCTCAAACTTTCTTATTTAGGTTTTATTTCATTAAGGTCAATAGCATATATCCAAATTTTCTATATTGTTAAAATTTATTATAGGTTTTTTTATGAAATGTTTTATTACAATAGTTTTAATTATTCCAGCAAGAAGATCAAACTAGTCTCATGAAAATAAAAGCTAATTAATACTTTACTTTCATATCCTTAATAAATGTACAAAAAATTACTTGTTTCTTGGCATAATTATATTCAAATTGTACCAAATATTATTGAAAATACATTGAACCTTATTTTACCTTAGCTTTTTCATTAAATTAATTTATTATTATAAATACCAACCTACAAAATAAAATGTATTATATCCAATTATTCTATTCTTCATTGCCCCCATTTTAACACAAAAACTACAACCTCATCCTTTGTTATCATTGGCTTTTCTATTTGAAGTTCAATCATATCTTTTAAGATCTCTTTCAACCATGGACCTCCTTTTCTTTGTAAAATTTTGCTACACTCTTCACCATTAACTAGTGGCTTCATTTGCCAAATATTTTCCAATTTTTCTAAAGCAATTTTGTTGAGTAATAGGTTACACCACTCTACCATTGTTTTGTTCATAACTCCTTTGTCATATGGACTTACTAACACTCCATCACAAGGTGCATGGATTGCACATGACAAACAAATCGACTCTTTCCACCACTCTGCCGAAGCAACAACTATCCTTCCTACTTCTACTCTTGTCCATTCTTTTTTGTTTGATAGTTGCTCTAGTTCTTTAACTCCATTATGAACTAATATTATGTTATTTCTCTCTTTCACACTTAATTTTAATGAATCAATAATAACAGAATGTATTTTTGCCATTCTCTTTTTCTGATTTGTTTCTCTTGTAACAGAATATAACAATGCTGCAAGAAATCCTATTTCTCTTCTTCCTAGTTCAAATGCTCCAAATTTTTGTGCATACATTTCATAACTTCTAACCACATTCGTAGTAGTAATTTCATCTAAATCACCAAAAAGTCCTTTGAAATACCCAAATTGTCTGATTTGATCTATACAATAAGCTGGCCTATCACTTTGTATCATTCCTATTAATTCACGTCCAAGTCGTTCTCGGCTCAATCCACTTATCATTTTATCTCCAATGTATTTTGTTTTCATTTCTTGTTCTAGCTCTTCATCTAACACAAATCCCATCTTCCCACTGAATCGAATTGCTCTTAACGCTCTTGCTGGGTCATCATGTAATGTCTCTTTTGGTGAAATTGGTGTTCTAATAATTCTACTTTTTAAATCATTCAAACCACATCCCGTTAAATCCTCTATTTGGTCATCATTTACCCTATAAAACATTGCGTTGATAGTAAAGTCTCTTCTCTGTGCATCTTCTAAAGGTGTACCTATTTTCTATACATCAGTTGTTTTTTTTTCATGTAATTATTTAACTTTAGTTATTAACCCATTTAACCAACAAACTTCCTCATCATTATCACAGTAATCTGATGCTCTCAAACAGCATATATCAATAGCAATATTATCTATTCTTAAGGTTGCAGTCTCAAGGTGTTTTCCAGCAGAATGGTTTTTATGAATTATTCCAATTCCACTAACGTTATGTTGTGTGTTTTCATTTATATATTTTTGAAGGTATTGTGAGAATTGATAAGATTGCATATTGTCAACTGTGATGTCAATGTCATGAGACTCTTTCCCTAATAATTTGTCTCTTACCCATCCACCTACAACTCTAATTATTGTTGATAATTTAAAATGTAGGACAGTCTATCTCATAAATACTTTTATAGATTTGTATTAATAACACAACCAACTTGTTTTAGAAGATCAAAAACCATGACTTCGTTTTGGGTCAAATGAATTGAAGGGGTGTTTTCCATAATATGAATTATGAGTTTTATCACAACAGGGTATCTCTTGAGTCAAAAGAGACTTAAAATTTTTATTAAATATATATAACAAAATTTATTGATATATGTTTTTTTGTTATTTAATACTTTTGGGTGACGAAACACAAGAATTTTATGGAAAGTCATGACTAAATTATTAAATATAATAGGTAACAAACAAAATAATAACAACAGCCAATTGATGAAGACGTAGAAAGAATACGCTATATTGAATAATTAAAAATTACTTAATTAAGTGTTAATAGATTTTTCATCTATTCTTCCTAGTTTAGCGGAGATTAATCCCTGAGCTGTTTAAAAAGAGTAATCTTTTTGTTTAACTTATCATTTATGTTTTTCTTGCAAATTGAGAAAATCACTTCTTTGCTTTATTTTTTCCTATTAATTTCTTCTCAAACTTCTTCTGCTTAATTCTTCTTTTTAACCTTTTGTTTATTTTCTGCCTTAATTTTAAACATTTTCTTTTTCCTTTTTTCTTTATTTTATGAATGAGAGAAGAGACTATTTCATTCCCATTATATTATTATGTTTAATTTTCTTTTAGTCTTACCCACACTTTAGTAGTTCCTTATATTACACCATGTAATATTCTATCATAATATCTTGCTACACCATTTGCAACATTCCTAATACATTTCTAATTCAAATACACTGTCATAACCAGAAAATAACTGGGAGTGTCGATGCTTGAAATGTATTAATGTTTGTGTGGTGTTTCAGATATGCTATCTGAGATTTATTTAATTAAGGTAATAAAAATAATAAGTGACGTTTACTTTGACTGAAATTTAAAGGAAGAAAAGTCATCTCATTAATGAAATAATTAAGTCGAATGCAAGAAGAGATAGTTGTTGGTATTGACTTATGAACAACATTAAGTTATTGTCATTTCTTTGATACTCAGAAACAAAATATGAATGTATCAACTATTTAAATGGAAGTTCAACAATTCAGTCAACGGTTAATTTTTTTCACTCAACCTGTTAGCGTTGGAATTGCAAATCCTATTGCCATTTGTGAATAAAACGGTTTATTGGAAGGAAATTTGATGATAGACAAGTGCAAGAATATATTAGACAAACATATTTCTCATATGAAATAGTTAGTGCAGATGATGGGTATTGTTGGACTGTGCTTGGTTGTGGTAAAAAAAACTAATAGAACCAGAATTTATTTCAGAGACTATTTTAAAAGCAATTAAAATTGAAATTCAACGAAGATTAAATATTAGTAACGGTATAGTTTTAAAAGCTGTTGTTATAGTGCCAGCACATTTTAATGATTCTCAAAAATGTAGAACAAAAAACTGTATTAATGGATGTATTTAGGTTAATTCGATTGTTAGCAGAACCATTAGCAGCTGTATATGCGTATGGATTGGATTTTACAAAAGTCTCATGTGTCTTGTATTTGGTCTTGGAGGAATGCTTGATACTACTATATTGGAAAAGCAAGGAAATGGTTTTAATTTTAAAGCAATTGGTAGTGATGTTTATTTCGGAGGATTATATTTTAATATGAATTTAATGGAATTTGGTATGTCCAAATTGAAAGCGATAAATAAGACTAAAGCACAAAGACGTATTTTTAAAGGAAGTGACTGTTGGATACAACGAAACATAAAGAAACAACTAAAATATAACTTAAGAAAAGAGGTTGAAAAGACAAAGATTGAATTATCAATCAATTTATATTGTGAGTTAGACATTTCAGAATTACTTCCTAAATCCAATCTTTATAAAATTGATGATAATGTTGATTATGGTTATGACTATCGTAGTGAATGATGACGAACTTATTATTTCTATTGATATAAATGGCTCTGAAGATTGTAATAAAAAAAAGAATTTGATAAATGTAAGGAATGAATAGATGAGATGTTGTCTAAGAAAAGAATCTCAATATCACAAATTGAAGAAGTTATACTTGTTGGTAGAATTTCATAAATTCATAGAGTCAAAGAATTATAAGTAAAAAAGTTTCGTTCATCATATATCAGACATAGTACTGATTGCACCATGGTTGTATCACAAGGTGTAATCTGATACACAGTTGAACATCCTAACAAAACGGTTACAGATCTTCTATAAGTAACTGTGCATCCTATCAAGATGACAGAAATTAATGGGAATTTTACCATTGTTGAAGATAGAATGAAAATTCCATATGAGCATGAAACGTATGTTGAGTTCATTAGGTTGATGTACAAACAGAATTCTTTGAAGATGAAAAATCATTAGGACCTTATGTTATTAGTAATATTCCAAAAGAAGAAAGATACGTTGCTTTTGTAGTAAAAATTGAAGAAGATAGCACAATTACTGTTAGTGGAAGTATTTCAAATGAACAAACTGTGAATGCAAAGCACAAACAGAGAATGAATCAAATGAAGAAGAAGAAGAGATGCAAATTGAGAAAAAGAAGATAGAGAAGTTCTTTTCTCAAAAATAAAAGTCATTGATAAATTTTTGTTTTTTGGTTGATAGAACTTGATAAATCATAAAAAGAACATGGCAACTATCACTCTCCAAATAGGAAATCAACAAATAACTACAACATACAAAACAATTAGAAATGATATTGGACTAATTATTAATGAAATGATTGGAAAGAATGATAAGGAAGTTGAGGAGTTTTATCAGAAAGAAATGAATATCATGAAAGAAATTGGAGAGAAAATCAAAGCAACAAAGGATGGATATGAATATTTGATAAAACAAGTTGAATTAATAGAAGATGCACACTACAATGTCATCACACATTGTTATGATGATAATTACCAAATGAATGAACGTGGAAAAAGAAGTATTGTTTGTTCAATAAAATATTTTATATAAAACACAAGAAAATAAGAAAATAGGAAAGTATCAAGAAATGTTACACTGACATTATCAGCACAATGATAATGTACTGCATCCACATTGACTGTATCATTGAAAATCTCTAATTCACTTCTTTTTAAATAAACAACACAAAGAATAATAATAATAAACAAAAAGAACTTGAAAAAAAGAAATGAGTGTATTTATTGAAACAAGTCTTGGGAATGTTGTGATTGACCTATTCACAGAAGACAATCCAGTAGGATGTTATAATTTCATTAAGTTATGTAAAATTGAATATTATCTTCATTGTATCATTTATAGAGTAATTAAAGACTATGCAATTCAATTTGGAGACACAACAATGGGAAAAGGAGGAAATTCGTTTGAAGGAATTATGGAAGGGATTGAACACAAATACATTGTATGTCAACCAAAAACAAAAAGAAAGAATGATAAGAAAGGAATTGTAGGGTTTGTAACACATGGTAAGAATGCAATTGGATCAGAAGTGTACATCACCACAGGGAATGGAATAAGTGGAATAAATGGAATAGCAATAGGACAAATTGAAGAAGGAATGGATGTGATAGAAGAAATTAACAAAGTCAATGTAGATGAGAATTATCGACCATACCAAAACATAAGAATTATTAGCATTGAAATATTTGATGATCCTTATGATGATCCAAAAGGATTTGTTAAACCAAAAGCACCAGAACTTATACTTGATGATCATCCAGAAATCAATGAGATGATAGAAAAAATTGACTCAGACACAGAGAAAAAAATCAAAGAAAATGAAGCAAAGAGTCGAGCAGAAGTTCTTGAAATGATAGGTGATTTACCATTTGCAGAAATCAAACCACTAGAAAATGTATTATTCATTTGTAAAATGAATCCAATCACGAACGAAGAAGATTTAGAGGAAATATTCAGAAAGTATGGTAAGATTAGAAGTGTTGAAATCATCAGAGACAGGAAAAGCAAGAAATCACTAGGATATGGATTTATTGAATTTGAGACTAAAGAAGGATGTGAAAATGCTTATCAAAAGATGGATAATGTCATTATTGATGAACGTAGAATTCATGTTGACTTTTCACAGTCAATTGGAAAATATGGAGTTCAATACGACTTCATCCATAAACACAATAAGTGGATTAAATTAAAAGAAAATGACATTCGTAAGAGATGTGAAATGAAACATAATGAAGAACCAAAAGAAAAGAGACAAATTGATAAATAATTCGCAACATGAAGAAGAAATAAAGAGAAGAAAGAACCGAAAGAAAAAAATAATTGACACATTAAACAAATAATTAACAACAATAAATAAGAAGAAATAAAAGAATAACCAACATGATGAATAATAAAGAAAATAAAAAATAATCCAAAAAGACATTAACAGTGATATTCAAGAAATTTAGATAATACAAAGAAAATAAAAAAAAGAATTAAATGAATAATAAGTTTTTAAAATAACCAATTGAAGACAAGAAATGATTATAATATTTACAGAATGATAATGGCATAATAAAGAAACAAGATAGAAAATAAGAATACATAATAAGAATAACAATAAGAAATAAATCATAATAAATTGTAATAATAAATCATGAATGTTCATTTCATTAAACAACATTCTTTCAAATGAAGAAATAAGTCAATTTATATTATTCAACATATTATTTGAGAGTTAATTAAAATGTCTTTATGTTTTGTATTGTTTTTATTTCATTCATTCAAGATTGAATCATTTCAATTACTATGATTCGTTTTGGTGTGAAACGATTTGGATATTCATTTCCACAATGTGATTTTGATATTCTTTCATATTCAAATGAATGTTGTTAATAGTTGATTTTGTTTTATTGTATTTTCTTTATAATCAACATTATCACATTGTTTCTTCAAAACACATCCATTGTGATTTGTTTGTACAAATTGAATAAGAATGTGGATAAATATTAATTTCTTCATTCGTTTGTTTCTCTTCTTGTTTATTGAAATTCAAATGGTTTTTGAATCATTTGATATAACTTTCAACTTTATCAATTTTCTCGTTAACATATCCTCCAAATTTATTTCCATCTTCACCTTCAATAATAATTATTATATGTTCTTTATTCTTTGTTTAAACACTGATGTATTTTTATTCCAATTATCTTTATTTGAATCAAATAGTATATTGTTTATTCTTTTTTCTGTCAATTCTTCTATTTATTTCATTATTTTTTATGTGACATTCTATTTGTTGATGAAGTTATTCCCATTATTTGTTATTGTCTCTTATTTTCACGATATTTTATCTTAGTTTAAAGTTTATCATTAATTCTTATAGTTATTGTATGGTTAATAGTCTTGACTCAATTGGTGTTCTATTAAATAGGAAATGGAATAATATTTATTTCAGGTACAACATCTAAAACAAGCGAAACTTGTCACATGAAAGATTGAAATGATTTACAACAATTTTAGAAGTGAGGTTAAGAAATGTTTATTAAAAAATTTCATTTTATTTTTTTCTGTTTTATTTCTATTTTTATGATTATTATAAAATTTGTTTTAAATAACATATTTATTTTTGTCATGTATATTTTCTTGTTATTATTTTTTCTTTATAATATCTTCAATAATGAGTAGTATAATCAATAACCATAGCTTCTTCCTAAGTATTTTATTTGATGTTTCTTTGTGTTAATTCAAATGTTAAAATTAATGAATTTGATTGTTTTATCTCTATTTCGTTATTCTTATTATTGTTAAATTATTTCATTCTTATTATTTTGAATATCAAACTATTTTATTTTCTTTCAATGTCAGAGTTTATAACGATTTTAAAATTATATTTTAATGTTTATTTAATTTTTCTTTCAATTTCATTCATAAAGTGATAATACAATTCAATTATGATAAATTCATTATATATTATACTAATTTGAATGTATAAAAATATTTACAAAAAGAAATGTGGAACAATAAAAATTATAAATTGATATTATTATTTGCAATTTTAGTGTACAATATCTTTATTTCACATTATATTTTAAATTGATTAATCATTCATCTTTTATTTATTGATAATCCTTATTTAACACAAATTCATATCGTCTTGAATGAATAGTACTTAATCAATCTTTATTTCATTAATTATTGTGTTCATTGTAATAGTTTTTGAATATCGCTTTTATTAATCTTTTGATATTAGCTTTAATTGTTTCGTAATAACATTGTTTTGATGTTAAATACTTTCATGTAATTATATTTTATAGATAAAAATGATCATCAAAAAATAAATCAGAATATTATCACTAACAATATGCAGTTTTCATTTAAAAATACAGTATGTAATTAAATAACTATGGATTAATGAAAATATGTTAATAATATATCTTGTTAAATAATAACTTATTTTTCTTATTAACGTATTTATCTAAACTTATTATGACTTAATCAATATTTAAATTGTATTATTTATATTAAGATATTGTTTAAATTGTGTGATTTTTATTTAACATTTTACTCAATATCTTATTAAAATAATCCTTTCTAATTATTGAAAAACATCTTTTTTTATATGACTATTTTAAGAAAATATTATTAATTAAAAACAAAGAATAATAATTGATATTATAAAATGATAATTGATAAATAATAGAATGACAATTCTGATATTTATTAATAAAATGGAAATGGATAAAATTCACCAATAGAAAATAAGATAAATTAATATATTAAAATAAAAGTAATTCAATAATAATTATAATAGAATGGTAATAAAGAGTATGTAATAATGATTAAAGAACAAAACATTATAATGAATAATAACTTGATAAAATATATAGTGAATAATAATATAAAAACATAGTGAACTAATACGGAGAATAAAAATAAGAATATAGAGATTTATTCAATGAATAAGAATGAGAATAATATGATAAAATATAAAATAAATGAAATATACTAATAAGTCTTTTTCTTGTTTTTTTCTTATAAGTTATAATAAAAACATTAAACATGATCCATTAGTAGTTGTAAACATATCTTAATACAATATATTTATTAATTATATATATTGACAAGACTTAATCTCAAAAAAATCTTATTCATGTAAATAAATATATAAACATAAAGTGTTACTCATAAATGAACTGGAATCAATCCATTTTAATATTCTTTAAAATCTATTCAGTATTAAATATACAATTAAGAGGTACTATGGCTATATTAATTATGAATACTTCTTCTTTTAATAATAAAGTAAAAGATATTTATTTTCAAAGAATAAAAATAATCTATGACTTATCAATGATGTAATTATTCAATAAGAGTAATGACTTAAGTTATATTTGTAAAATAAATATAAACCAAAATTATAGTACAAATTCCTTAAACCAAGACAGAATTCATACAAGTATAAATAAATAATTTATATAATAATAGCAAAACGATTAGATGTAGTGAAAAAATATTATAATTATATTTTCATGTTTGTTTAATACAATTTTAAGACGGTGTCAATAATATTTTTATCAAAAAATTACCTCAAAAATCATGATAAACTTATTCCTCAGGTTTCATTTCATTGTTTTTCTCTTGTTCCTGAGGATGTTCTTTCATATTTTTAATGTTGATGGTTTCAGCAACAAAACTTGTTAGTTTTTCAATTACTAACCTTTGCTTTTCAAGTTCTTTTTGCCTTTGGAATAACTTATTTGATATGGTTGTTTGTTCAATGATAATGTCCATAACTTCTTCCATTACCTGTTTTTTTCTTACTGATAAAGTCTGTTTATTAAATGTGATAATAATGACAAGTAATAATAAGATTGTATTGAAATCACGAAAATATGCCTTATTCTCACTTAATTATATAAGAAATTTAGTGTGAAGAAATCCGAAAATAGAATATTATTTTGAATTTAATGAGGTGTTTTTTTTTTGAGAATAAAATAAACTATTTCATATAAATCTTTTTATTAAATGAATTATTAATCTACTAGAAATAGAATTTTTGTAAAAAATTTGGTTAAATACCATAGAACTTATTAAAACTAAATTGTGTTTTTACAAATGAATGACACTGATGTACCTACTAAAGCTATACCACAGAGCGTTTCTGAAAAAATTACCAAAAGTGAGACTAACAAAAAACAAAGAATTATAACAGGAACCATATTTTCTCTTGTTGCTGTTGTTCCAATCTATTTAGGTGTTCATACTTTTCATGTGTTAGAAGCTGTATTAAGTTTTCTATTGTTTCATGAATTAAATAATGTTTTCCATGCCTCAACAAGTGAAAAATATATTGGATATGGGTTATTTGTTTTTGACCACATAATGCTTACTATTAACTATCAACTAACTTTCGAAATATTCCCAGTTATCTCTTTTATTGTTTATTCTTGTTATTCATTGAAAACTCATGACCTTATTAAAAGCACAAAACTGTTTTTTGCATCTTATTGGTCTATTCACTTGTTATCATTCTCTATAGCCATCCCATATATAACAGGAACAACTATGCCATTAATGTATATAATTTTCCTTACATGTAATAATGACATTTGGCAATGGGCATTTGGAAGAATGTTTGGTAAACATAAGCCATTTACTTTTCTTTCACCAAACAAATCTATTGAAGGGTATTTAGGAGGGCTTCTTGTATTGATTATAATTGGGATACTTGCTCAAGATAACTTAATCTTTATTTTATTAGTGTATGTATCAGGTATTATTGGTGATTTAATTGCAAGTTGCTTAAAACGACAATTAGATGTAAAAGACTTTGGAAGTATATTACCAGGAATGGGTGGGATGTTTGACAGAATGGACTCCCATATTATTGTTATTACATTAGCCTATTATTGGTATAAACTTTTTGGATATCACCCTGGATTGGTTTTGAGATGTATTCAACATTACTTTTATTTTACAAATGATGAATGTTCTTTATTCTAATTCAAAGATATAAAAAATTAAAACTAATTATGTTAATTTTATGTTTTAAATAAAAAAGAAAAATGATGCACACCCTGTCAAGAATTTTATAATTAAAATTCATTTTTATTTAATTGAGAACGTAGGAAACTGTTTGATGAGCAGATTTTTTTCCTTTAATTCCTTCAACTGGTTTAGCAACTTTCTTTTCTTTTTCAGTTAAAATAATTTCAATATGACATGGGCTGCTTGAGAAGGAGTTGATACTTCCGTGTGCTCTATAAAGTCTTCTTCTTGATGAACGAGCCTCTTGAACAGCAATATGGCTGACAGTTAAAAGAGCTGTATTAAGTCCTTTTGCTTTGGCATTGTCAACAGCATTCTTAAGAAGTTTAAGAATGAATTGTGCTGATTTGACTGGCCATCTTCCAAATGCACAATTTAATCCTTTACATTGAGCCTTACGTCCAACTCCTCCATTATGTTTTCTGAATGGAACAATTTCTTTCTTAATAATAACGTTTTTAAGAAATTCTTGTGCACGAGCAACTTTCATTCCTCTAATAGCATCAGCTGTTTCGTAAGTATTTTTAAAGTGAACTTTAAGGTTGTCACCACGTGCTTGAGCTGCTTTAGCTACATTAACAGGCTTAGTGCAATACTTGACCATTTCAACTTAGCCTTCTAATTTTAAGTTCTTTTTCCTTTGTTTTAGGGTTCGTTTTCTCTCTAATCTAACTTCTTTTCTCAACTTTTATTTAATATTCCTTTAATATAATTTACTAGTAATCACACATTTATTCATTCTATTTCTTTTTTATTACCTTTTCAGTTTAACTTCTCGGATTCTAAGTGAAATGAATGGACAATCATATAAAACAATATCTACAATAAGATAATAATTAAGTCAAATGTTTTTAAGTAATAAAACTATAAAGGTGGATGAAACAAAAAACGAAGAAGAAAGAAAGAAAAACATTTTTATGAAAATTATAGACAATCTTCATAGACAAATTTATTCTCCTAATACTATTTTTTTTGATGACAATTCAGATAGGACAATGGCTAGTATCTTACTTCGGTGGTGTCATGCTAATAAGTTTTGTATTATTTACAATTCAGAAAATCAAGAATTATCAACAAAACAAGTATGGAGAACTCTTCAAGGCAGAACAAATATTGTCACAGTTATTTGTACAACTACTGGTAATGTTTTTGGATCATACCATTCTATCATACCAAAAAGGCAATCTTCTATTCTTTGTGATGATAAAAAACATTTCATGTTTACGTTGAAAAATCCTTATAATGTTCCACCCACTCGTTTTAAACAAAATCTAAAAAATGAAAACCAATTAATTATTCATCGTGACATTCAAAACAGTTGGATATTTGGAGTTGGGTATGGGTTTCATATTCGAGGAGAAGATAAAAGTTATATTGGGTCAGCTTCTGGAGAGCAATTAAATAGGGGATATATAGATACAGTTGGCCTTAACAGTGATATCTTCAATGACTCTCATTACCCATCTTATTTTAGTTTTTCAAGAATTCTCTTTGTTCAGTTGTACTAAATTAACTGTTTCTTTTCAACTTCTAGAAAGAAATGAGAAACAACAAATAATTATTCTAATATCATGAATTTTTTTTAAACAAGAATTAAAAAACAATCAAATTAATAAATAAAATAGTTTCAAATAAAAACCAAAATGTATCAATTAAAATAATAATAATTAGAATAAATAATTATTAAATTGAAAAATAAAAACCTCCATAACCAATAAAGGCATGTTGAAAAAGTCCTGTTTCATTCATATTAAAATTGGATGAACTAAAAAAGAATAAAAAGAAATGAATTATTTATTAAATTTTGTACATGACTTTAGTTTAAAATGTCCATTCTTTCCAGAGAAATCACTTGAAACATTAAAGGATTATAAATATCAAGCTATTGATAATTCTATTGTAGGGAAATACTTTTATCAAGATTTTATTATTAGTCCAGTTATGAATCATTTAGTACCAAAATGGATTGCACCAAATGTAATTACAACAAGTGGTGGAATATTTATTGTATTAGCATTATTCACTGTTTATTTAAGTAATGTATTTGGATCATTTACACATCTTATTATTGGTCTTTTGTTTTACATGTATGTATTATTTGATACTCTTGATGGTAAACAAGCACGAAAAACTGGAAGTGGTTCTCCACTTGGAGAATTAATGGATCATGGAGTAGATGTTCTTGTAATGGGAACGTTAGCAATTATTCTTTGTCATGAATTTATGTTAGACCAATTCCAAACAGCATATATTTATTTTATTGGATTTACTATTTTCTATTTACCACATTGGGTACAACATCAAACAGGATGGATGATTTTTGGACCAGCATCAAATCCAATTGAAATGGTTCATTTATATTTAGTAATTGAAATTATTAGAACAATTAATGGATGGACACCAGAAATTGTTAATAAAGCAACAATCTTTGGTATTCTTCCTATGCCAATGTTTTTAATGATTTTTGCAACAATCATTTTAGGATGTACTATTGTTTCTTCAATTATTGATGTTAGAAATGAAATAAAAAAGAATCAAAAAGGATGGAAAAAACCATTATTAGAATTAAGTTCATTTATAGCTACTTCTCTTGTAGCACTTTCTATTAATTATATTCATATTGATAATTTTATTTGTGATCAACTTCGACTTGTAGGAAGTGTATGTTTTGTAGGAATGTTTGTACAATGGTATATTGTTACTCGATTATTACATTTACCATCTCCACCTCTTTATATTAACTTTTATGGAACTATTATCATTTCATTCATAATAAATATTAGTTATTTTATGGGAAGAACAAATATTGTAAATATATTTGCAGTTATATATTTTGGACATTCATTCTTTTGGGAGTCAGCATTAGTTATTAATGTTATTTATTATTTCTCTAAATATCTTCATATTCATCCATTCAAAATAACACCCAAACAACAAGATTAATTTCTTTAATAATAATTGAATGAAAATTTTTGTTTTTCAATTAATAATTATTTGTTTTTGATAACAGAACAAAAAAAGTATTTAATGAGTTATCGTCAATCAACACAACGTAAAAATTGGATTTTTGAAAACTCTGATTCAGTTCATCAACAATTTGAAAGAATTAATAAGAAAGCAGGAAAATTACTTAGTACAGGAGAATGTGAGGTGATAGTTGATTATTATGCTAAACAAATGTTTTCAATTCAAAAGAAAATTAAATTACCATTAAATGTATTTTATTCATGTTTATTATTATATAAACACTTTTATATAATTCAATCACCACAATTATTTCATCCAAGATTTATTATGATTGCTTGTTTTTGTTTTGGAAAGAAATTAGAGGAATTTAGATTTGAAGGAGAACAAGACATTACTATTCAATTTTTATGTACAAAAATTTTTGAATCAAAATTACTTAAATTTTCATTACAAGAACTTATTTATTATGCCAGAGTTTATGAACCTGTAATAATGGAAGTTCTTCATTTTGAACTTGGTAAATTTAATGCTGTTGAACCATTTTATGGGTTTATGCAAATGATGGTTGATTGGAAGAATACAGAACTTAATACATTAAAGAAAGAAGATAATGTAAAAAAAGAAAATATTTTATTAAATGAATTTTATGAAGAAAAAGAAGGAAGGTTAAGACTTAAAGAGGATTATATTAGAAATGCAATTGATGATATGAAAATGATGTATTTATCATATGTTCCTTTATTATATTCACCATCTATGATTGCATTAGCTATTCATTATCATCAACTTCAAAAACAAGATGATTTAGAAAATGAGTTTGAGAGATATATCCAATACTTAAGAGATGAAAATGACATTGATATTGCTCTTGGTAGTTTAGATTCAATCATTTCATTATCTCAAGATTATGAAGATGTACAAAACTCAGTTGTTAAATTAGTTGTAGAGAAATTAAATACTATTATTAAAATAACTTGTGCTGCATGTTGTTCTGTTGATTTAATGCCATTCTTAAATAAAGCAAATGGTGAATTATCAGTCATGGAAAGTAGTGATGTTAAATGGCATTATACTGATGGTAAATCATATCAAATTTGGTTACCATTAGGTAAAATACAACCAGCAAAAGTAAGACCAAATTCATTTCAATTATCACCATTTCTTTATTTTCAACCAGATGTTTTTGTATTAGCATTTGATGTATCAAATATAAAAAGTTTTGAAGAATTTAAGAATTTTGAAGAATGGAAAAATATTAGTCATTATCTAATATGTAAAAAATTGATTGTTATTGGATTAAATAGTGAATTACCTCATGCTATTTCTAATGAAGAAATTAAATCAGTATTACGTCTAATTTCACATGATAAAATAATAGTACAATATCTTGAATGGAATATAAGAACGTCTCAAATAAATGATTTTATTTCATTAGTTGATCAAATGATTCAAAAGAAATAATAAAATATTAAACCCAAAATGATTGTTAGTCATAACTTTTACTTGTTATTCACTTTTAAATACAAATAATATCAAAGAACTAACATGAAAAATAATTAAAAATAAATAAAGAATAAATATACTAAATTAAAAGAAATAATTTACTTTTTATTTACTTTTTTAGTAGAAAACCATTTATCAAGAGTATAAGGTTGTTTTGGTCTTTTCTCTTTTGGGACTGATTGAACCAAATCAAAAAATTCTTCTAATTCATTTTCAGTAAGTTCTTCATTGACACTACTTTTTTTTAATTGAAGTTCTTTTAATCGTTGTAATTTTTGAAGTTGTTTTTGTTCTTTTTCTTTCAAACATTCTTTATCATAACATTCTTTATTAATAATATCAAAATGATTAAATCCATCATTTAATAATGAAGTATAAATGTTATAATCAATTTCTTTAAATACACAAAATACTACTTCTATTTGATGGTTTTTAAGAAAGTTATTAACTGTTTGAATAGCAATTTTTGCTGCTTCTTCATTTGGAAATCCAAACATTCCAGTTGATATACAACAAAATCCAATTGAAGTACATCCTGCTTTAATTGCTTTATTTAAACAATTTAAATAACATTGTTGTAATAAATATGAGTGTTTTGGTTTTAATGTATCTACAATAGGACCAACAACATGAATTACATATTTTGCTGGTAAATTATATCCTTTTGTTATTTCAGTCGTAGTTGTTGTTGCTTTATAAGCTGTTTTTAATTGACTGCATTCATGTCTTAATTGAACTCCAGCACGTTCATGAATAATACTATCAACACAAGAATGAAGTGGAATAAAACAACCAACAAGAGTATTGTTTGCAGCGTTAACAATAGAATCTATTTTTAATTTAGTTATATCCCCTTTCCATACTCTTATAGATTTAGAAAATTGTTTATTTAAATTAGGATGAATAGGTAATGATTTATAATCAATAATTTCTCCTAATTCACTTTGTAATAATTCATTTTGTTTTTGAATAAATAATGGACTATATTTTAATGGTTTTATAGTATCAGTCATTCTTCTTAATAATATTCTTTTTGCTGAATATGTTTTTGGCATAATAAAATTTTCAATAAATCTTTTTCCTGTACATTCTTTTTTCATTATTTCTTTTAAGGAATTAATCAGCCATTCAACTGTTTCTTCCATTATCTAAAAATTTTTAATTTCTCTACTCATAATTTATTTTATTTTATCAATTTTTTTATTAAGCCTTTATTATTGAAAATAAGTTGAATATCTTTGAAAATGAATAAACTTATTTTCTAATACTTTTGTGTTATTTATTTAAAATTTGAAATATTATTTCTAGCATAGCATATTCATTCTTTTTCTCTTTTATTTGTTTTCATTCAACATAATATTACATAGTATTACAATAAAAGTTGATAACAAAAATACAATTCGTTTAATTTAAATTTATTCATTACTAAAAATTTAATTATTTAATATCTATTATTAGTTAATAATTGCATAAATACAGCATAATCGATGATTAATAATTCCAATGTAAAAATCAATAGTATTAAAAGTTTCTCTTAAAAAAAAATGTCATGTAATAACACGAAAAAGAATTAAAAAAAAAACATAAAAGGCTTAAAAAAGGTTCAAACCAAATGCATTTTTAAAATAAAAACAAACCACAACAAAAGTCAATTTAGAAAGAAGGAAGAATAGCTCCTTTCACTGAAGCAACAAAATGCTCAGCCATAGCTTTATCTCCAATAATAATTCCCCAATGCATTGGAACATAGCACTTAGATTGAATAAGTCCAGCAGCAACAATAGCTTCATCAGCAGTCATAACATAAGTTCCACTAACAGGTATAAGAGCAACGTCAAGATTAGTATAAGTTTTCATTTCTTCAATAACATCAGTATCACCAGCATGATAAATTCTTTTTCCATTGATTGTAATAATTACACCAATAAATCCCATTGACTTAAGGTGGAAATTCTTGTTAGTATTATAAGCATCAACACCTTGGAATTGAATTCCTTTTTCAGTAACAACATCTCCAACACATAATTTAATATAATGTGGTTTAGTAGTAAGAACTTTACAACATGGTGGAGCAATGAAAATAGTGTTTTCATCTTCAATAAGAGCAATATCTTCAGGACTTAAATGGTCATTATGAGTATGGGTAGTAATTATAAAAGTAGCTTTATGAGCTTTAAGGTAATCTAATTGCTCAGCGGGAAGAGTAGTAAGTTTAAAAGGATCAATATAAATATTTACTGTTTTGGTTTCAATAAGAAATCCAGAATGTCCAGTATGATGAAGAGTAATATCGTCAAGAGTAATTCCCATGATTTAAATAAAAGAAATAAAAATAAAAAGATGGATTTAAAGTTTTCTAACACTATTCCATTTTATTTAAAAAAGAAGAAAACCCTTGTCTCATACTATCTACTATTTTATTATCTTTTCTAAGTAAAATCATGTTTTTGTATTTTAAAATTTTACAATCTTTTTCCTTTCTTCCAATTCAGTTACGAAGTTATTACTATGAGTTAATTTCAAGTAGATAAAAATGTTATAGAATAATTTATTAAATCTATTTAAAAATATAGTTCATTTTTACATTTTTAGAAATAATAGAATTGGATGTTGAATTAGTGTGTTTTTTAATTGTTTTGTATAAATAGCATCTCAAACCTTATTCATTTTTATTATTTTTTAAAAATATCTTTATTCATTATGAAACTATCAAATTCATTATTATTATATCTTTTATGAATAATAGTATGAGCAGAACTCTTTCTCGGTCAAGAAAAGCTTTATCAAATGCTTTATTAGTTTATCATATTCTTCTTGAAGGAGCTACAATCCAGTTTTTTAGATCAAAAATATCTCACTATGCCTTAAAAGTTCTTAGAGGAGAGTCAGTTATAATAGAGTCAAAAAAATATCAGCTCGATGACTTTATTGAAATATCACAAAAATTCTGTAGTGTATTAAAGCCTTTAATTGATGGTTATAAAAAAAATAATCAAAAACATATTATTATTGATAAAGAATCAATTAATTTATTTCCTAAAGACAATAACTCAAATAATTCAATGTCTTTTGTTACTAAATTGTCAAAGACAGATTGTAGAAATAGAGAATCTGCATTTTCTAACTTTATGGCATATATGTTAATTAGTAAAGGATACAAACTACATTTAAATACAAATAATATGAAAGAGACATCTAAAGTTATGCATTTCTTTGTGTGGAATGCAATTACCTCTCCTCAAAATGAATATTTTGAAATTTCAGAAAAATCTTCTTTAATTAATTTAATCAATTTAGTAGAAAAACGATTAACTATGAGGAGTAATACAATTGTTAATAAGTCCATATTGGATGAGATTGAAGAAATGTATTCTTCAAAAATGCTTAGTGTATTTATTCCTGTGACAGATGCAAATAGATATAAGGTTACTCAACAAACTTATTTTACAGAAAACCCTTTTTGTAAATAAAGAATAATTGAAAAATGTTTTATATTAGTATTGTGTTGTTCAAACTTACTAAAAGTAAAAAATACAAAAAGAAAGCTTGTTAATGTAAAATTAAATTTTAACAGGAAAAAATAATGCAAGTTATTTTATTAATTGAGTTTAAGATATTATGTTTCAAATTGTTTTTTTCTTTTGATGTATCTGATTTTGTTTTTATATAAAAAGATGTTAAGGTTGTTTATTTTTATCACTAATAAAGTAAATTTTATTAAAAAGATTCTTAAATTAAAAAGAAATTCTTTTATTCTCTAATTATCTTTTTCATACAATATTTTCTTAAATTATTTCATTAATTCATTTTGTAATTATGAGAATATAATTTAGTAAGACAACACTGTTTTTCTTTTGTACTTGGTTTTTTAATAAGAGTTTCATATAACATTTAATAAAGAAGTATAATTACATTATTGTAATTTGTTAAATTAACTCTAGTGCTTTTTTTAAGAATTTACTATTATTAGATAATAGTATTTATTGGAAATATTTATTTTCTAATTATTTATTTTAAGGAAATTGGATAATTAAATAATAGAAAAATTTATTCTAGAAAATTGATTTATATTTAGTAACATATTCACATTTGATAATATTTTTATGATATTCCAAACTCAACGATTCTTTATATAAATATATTTATTAATATAGTTGAGTGACAACGTTAGTAATCACATATTTTAAAGAAAAGAATATATCTATTTAATGATACATTTCTTTATTAATGAATATAAAACTACCATCATTTAGGTTATTGAATTCTAAATAAACTAAAGTGGTATAAATTGAAAACCCAGTACATTCTATAATTTAGAACAATTGTGAATTAATAAAACATATTTACTTTTTGTATTTAATAGTAATGAAATTATAGTTCAAAAGCATTTTAATAAACAAATGTAAGATGTCTGTTTGTTTATTTTAAATATAGTTAAAATAAAGAATATTTCACAGGAAATAACATCAATAATATTTAAAGACAGTAAAAGATTCGTATAAATAAATATAATACTTGAATATTCTTAACAACACAATTAAATCTTTTTTATTTCAATAATTTCTTTGATAAATTTATATTGGAACTTCTTTTCATTAACAATTTAATTTATCATTATATATTAGTTTTTTAGAACATAATAAATTAATATGACCTAATATTTTATCATGCACAGAAATTAGTTAGAGTTAATTTCTGATTTTTGATATCAACATATAAGCATACAAATGAAAATAACAGTTGTAAAACATTTCAAGAAAAAATGTTCTTTATTTTAACTAATTGAATTATCATTGTTTATATAAAATAAAAACATATTTAAAATAACATCTTCAGTTTTTAATGTTATATCAGTCTGATTTTATTCAACAAGAAAAAAATACTTAATAATTATCATTCAAAATTGAATAAAATAACTTTCAATAATCAAAATGGGTATGAATAAATACCATAAAACTAGTTAAGAAAAAATACATCTCTTCGGTTGTCAGATATCAAAAATATAGTACAAACAAAATACATACGTTAAATAGTGTACTTTGTTATTAAAGTTTGTTCAAAAAAGAAAGACAAACAAAATTTGATTATTATTAATTCTACAGTATAAAGATAAATATTTATATACAAATAGAACTTATAAAAATTCTGTATATTAACAACATTATTTATTTAATAAGATTTTTAATATTCATATTATTGATTATAAGAATAATAAATATTATAAATTGTTAAACAAGAGTTGTGTGTTATTTTTTAATCCTACAAAGATGTTTATAAATACTCTAATCAAGTATTGATATCCATAATGATAAAATAAAGACTACTCATATTAAAAAGACTAACAAAAGACACAGAATATATTTATTTTTATAGTCTAAATAAAACTTCCTTCTTTAAAGGGTTATATTAAGTAAACGTACTTTCATGAGAAAAGAAGTTTAAAAATGTTTAACAGTCAAAATGTATCAATTCAAAAATACAACAAAAAGTATCATCATTTTTAATTATTCGAGATAGGACTTGTAAAAAAAAACAATGGCAAATCAGAAGAAGTAAGTACAACAAAAATTCGGTGGGAAATTAATATCACAAAAACAAAAATAAATACATAAACCTAAATTAAAAAAAAAGAAAAAAAAAACTAAAAAAAAGAGATGGAGAAGAGGGAAAGAATTAATTGTAAAGAAGAAGTTGAGAAATATATTAAAACAATAGAAGTTATGAAAGAAATAGGAGAAGCAGAAAAAGGGTATAATGAAGAAAGAAAGAGAGCAAGGGAAGACCGAGAGAAAAAGAGAGAAATAGGAGAAAAAGAAAGAGAATTAAAAAAGAAATATATGGAATTTAAAACAGAAATAAAAGAATGGAAAGAAGAAGGGATGGTTTTTGGAGGATATGAGAAAGGAGAGAAGGAAAGAGTTAAAAAGGAAATAGATGAATATTTTCAAGGAACACGATACGACTATGCAATTGGAGAAACAAGTATTGGGAAAGAAGATTATTTAATAGTTAGTACAAGTAATAGACAATTATATTTTGAACGAGGAGGAATAGCAACAAAAAGTGGTATTAAAATTATGAAAAAATTTGTTTGTTAAAAAGAAAAACAAAAAAAAAAGAAAATAACAAAATAGGAAGATATTGGAATAACTGAAAAAATAGAACAAATATTTAAAGGAGAAGAAATAGAAGTAGAAGATGAGAAAGAAGAAAAAAACAAAAATCCAATAATGTATTATTATTTAAATAACACAAATTGAGAGGTTTTTTATTATAACATTACTTCAATAAATTCTAAATTATGGATATCATAAAAAATTTAGATTTAATGAAATTTTTATTATTGTATATTATTATTTCTTTGTTTAAATTTTTAAATAAACAATTAAATTTTATTATTTATTCACTCATTTTTGTTTTTTATTATTTTTTCTGATTTTTTTTGTTTTTTTTTTTTAATAACAATTATTTTTTCTTTTATATTTTGTTATTTACTGTTAAAATAATATTAAATTATTTATATAAATTTTTATAGTATTTCTTAATAAATAATAAATATTTTTAATTTATTATTATATTTTTTTGGTAATAATTTATTTTTTTTCATTTAGGAAAATATCTCTTGAGAGTTAATTAGTTATTTGTAATTCATATAAAAAATAATTAAAAAAGAAGGTTCAAAATAATAAAAATTAAAAAATTAATTACCAATAATTTGGTAAAATTTCAATACCCTCAATTTTATATTTTGATATTAATGTATCTTTCATTATAATTTTAACATCTTCATTTTCATTAACTCCATCTAATGAAATTGCACCAATATAACTTTCTATTTTGTCATTATGCTCAACACTTTTTGTATAAATAACAGTTCTTTCATTAAATGGAAGGATTTTAATAGAACTAAAACATCGTTCATTAACATATTGTGGATCTTTATATTTCCTACACACATTAATATTTTCATCGCAAATAATAATATATTGACTTGAAGCGATTTCATCAAGTTCATCAATCCATTCTATTTTACTTACTTTCCTTGGAAAAATATACCATTCATGGTACATGTTTGAATATAAAATTCCTTCATTTGTAATATACCCTGGATATGAAATATTAAGTAGTTTATGAATTCTTTCATACTTATCTATCCATGATTCAACTCTCTTTTCTAATTTTGTATTAATATGATAAATATATGAATTAGCATAATCATTAATTCCCTGTACATGAATATTTCCTTGTGATCCAACAATCATCTCATCATTATAAACTGTTCCCCACTCTACTTTCATTCCATCTTCAGAAGTCCCATTTCCTTCATTAAGAATAATTCTTGGATATAATTCTTGGCGGTCAATATTTATTTCATACCCAATTCCTGTTTTATCATCAAACCCATATAATTTCTTATTGTACCAAACTAATTCTGATAATTCATTTCCTCTTGTTCCTTTATTAAATTTGCTAATAAGTTTACTATGACTTGTCTCTACATACTCCCATCCTTTTTCTGTAATAAAAATTTTTCCTAAATAGATTTGACAATAATAATCATTTCCATATCTTGTAAGTTCATCATCATCACTAATCATCCCAAGATTAATACTTGTCATTTTCTTTTCATAACTTTGATAATTATCTAGAACTATTGGATATTTAAAAGTGTTTTGTATAGAAAATCCTGTAATAATACCAACGAACCCAATAGTAGTAATTACAATAATTGATAAAACAACAACCATTGTAACAATATTAACTTTCATTTCAGTTGTAAGAAATATTCCCATTTAAAGAATGTTCTTTTTAATTTACAGATTAAATTTATTTTCAAAGTCATATCTTTAATAAATAAATCATTTTCTTTAGCTAAAGAAGATAATATTTTTTATTAATTTTTCCTTCATCTGACAAATATTGGTATAAAAAAAGACTAATAACTTATAACTAAATCTGAAGATATAACAACCTAAAACATCGAATTAAGTAATTAATAACCTTATATAAATGAAGAATTAATAAAATTTTATAGTGTTTTAATCCTAAGCAAAAAAATAATGTCAAAAAAAAAGAAGAAGAGTTAAAAACTATCCTTAAGACATTTTCAGATGAAGAAAGATGATAAATACTGTTAACAACAATTTTTTATAACACACAGTATTGACTAAAATACTAATAAATCAAAGTTTAAAAAGAACATAATGACATTCCTAAATAAAACAAAGAGACTTATGATGGAACAAAATTTAAACACATAACAAAATGGATAAAGGTATTAAAGTCATTGTATGTTGGAAATGTGACAAATTACACAGAGACTAAAAAACAAAAATAAACTAGGACAAAGAAGATAAAAAAAAAGGAAAAAAAGTGAATAAAAAGTTTGAAAAGAGAAGAAAAAAGAAAAATTCATAGTAGTAAAGTATAATAATATTATAAATATGAAAGTTAGTTTTTATCTTAAATGGAAGAATCAAAATGATGTTATTATTTAATATAAATTAGACATAAAAAGATACTTAATATAAATAAAAGGATTAAATAAAAGACAAACAGAATTAAAACTAGACTAAGAGAAGGTAGAACAATTTACAAAACAAGAAAGTAAGAATAAAAAATGCTATTGAACATTTTTTGACTAATCATTTTAATTAAGATAATTTGACTCAAATCACAGTAAATATTATTATAAAAGATATCGTTAAGTAAAAATAAATACCTAATAATGGATAGGAAAATACTGTAATACAATAAATAAATTAGTATGCCTTAGAAGTATGAAAAAAGATGCTTTATTATTTATTCAAAAATAATCAAAACCAAAACTAATTTAATCTGATTATTAAAAAACAGAAGAAGAATTTTAAAGATGATTAACTAAAATACTTCATCTTTCTCTCCTTCTTTCAATGCTTTCATTAAATTTCTATTAATTATTAATATTCTATATAACCGTTTTATTTCTTTAAGTCACAAGAAAACAAACCCTATAACTATAAATGTAGTTGATATGAATAATGATTGTCCTGTAAATGTCACTGTAATTGTTTTGTAACAATAAAAGTAATATCCTATAATCATTCCAATCACATTAGTTGTTATTAATATTACCATTATTATTGTTTTATTATATTTTCTAAATTCGTCTTTTTTCATCATAGCAAATTCAATTATTGTCGATATTAAACACATTATAATTGGTAAGTTATATCTTAATCGAAATTCTCCTTCAACAAAATATAACCATCCTCCATATTCTTTTGTTTGATATAAACAATTGATGTGAATAACTATTCCCATAATATAGAAAATAACCATCATAATAGTGATGATTTCTTGAATGACTCTGTGCATTTTATCTTCTTTTAAGTTCTTTTCTTTTTTATTTTTCTCTATATTTTCGGGTGTCTTTTTTGTTGAACTTCTTTCTCTTCATTTAAATCTTTCATACCTCGCTATAATCATTGACCATTTGTTATGAGATATAATGTGTCAATTATCTGAACTTCATTTCATCCTTTTTG